GTTGGGGGGGGGGGGGGGGGGTCTGAGAGAGATGGTATCCTGACTATAGTAGGGGAAGGATGAGCCTATAGAGGAGGGATGGACTGACTTAGAGGCAGAGGAGGCTTGCCTTGCCAAGGTGGGTGCATACGTACTCAGCACACCTGGGCCTTATGTCCCTGGTGCTAGAGACCGCTTTTAAGAGCCTGGGAGCAGAGGGAAGGCCCATGCCAAGAAAGCTTTGCTGTGTTCACCACATGCATTCTTGGATAACAAGGCTTCGTTTTCATTCCTGGGCATTTTCCAGTGACCACTGTTATAAGACCTACCCAGCCAGGCTGTGCCAACTCACAGAGGAAACCACAGTTGGTCAAACCAGTTCTGTGCCCTCCTACCTCCTCAGCCAGCACAGCATGATCTGAGCTGGACAGAGACCAGCCTTTTCCTCTGGGCCTCACAGGCCAATGGCCTTTTATTCTCAGACTAGGGATGGGGAAATAGATTTATTATTAGTGCCTTGACAAGCCTACTGTGAATGTGAGGCTCCAGAAAGCCATAAGCCCCACACATGGAAGACACCACAGTAAGGGGAACACCCTCACTTCTAACCAAGTGGCTCAAGACCAGGGCAGCCTCACTCACTGGCAATTAGCTGCCGATCTCCAGTTGTAGGAAATCCCCTACGGACCTAGTGTCCTTCCTTGATATGTTGCCGCCTTCCCACTGATAGGCCTGTGGTTTGTCTCTGAGTACACTGTACCTTTAAAAGCAGAGCATAGATATCTCCCACAGGCTGGATTGCTTCTCTCATCCACCTTTGGCTATGCCTGGGAGGCTAGAACCTGTGATGCTTCTCAAGACTTTTTACCTGTCTACCCTAGTTGCAGCTTCCCTCTGTAACAGTGTCCAGGCTCTGACTAGTATTTGCAGAGCTGGGTACTGAAGCCTGTGTCAAAGGGGGATTGTTCTAGAACAGTGCTGTCTTTGGCCTGTTCATACTTTTATCACCTGTCTACACTAAAGGCTTTTTAGCAAGCAATCCAGTTCCCTCCAGTGAATTCTTCTCTGAGGGTTGGGAGATGGTGGAAAGTGCCTTTATCACCAGTCCCCTTCTGTGACTTGTGTACACCCATACAAACCTTGTTCTCACTCCATTAATGTCTCTGGAAGCCCACCTACTCTAAAACACCTCTAAGGAAGGGTCTTCCTGCTGTTTCCCCCTGGGTCATCTGAGCCAAAACCCTTGATGATTCCACATTTGCAAAGGCTCTGCTTATTCTCCCCTTTCTCCTCCCCACGACCTTCTGCTCCGTCACCACCACCTGATTAAGAAATCAGCATCTCCCTGGACTGTTTCAACTGCCCTTAGTCCATCTCTTTCTGACCTGCAGGGAATCTGTTACTCCATAATAGCAAGCTACTTCCCTTTGGCAGAGTTAACTAAGTACAGAATTCCTTCATGTGGCATTCTGCACAGTAATTTTGTTTTGTTTTTGTTTTTTTGAGACAGGGTCTCACTATGTAGCCCTGGCTGGCATTGAACTCAGAGATACACTTGCCTCTGACTCCCCAGTGCTGGGATTAAAGGCGTGTACCACCATACCCAGCCAGTTCTGTGACTCTTTTCATGGCCCCACTCCAACTCATGGTCTTCAGAGTCCACTTGCATATCCATAACTCCCTGCCTGCCACTGGGCACCTGTTCGGTCCATCTGCCACTGCAAACTTCATACATACACACACACACACACACACACACACACACACACACACACCTTGAAGCCCAGGATACTCCGACTCGCCCTTTCAAACCTGGCTCAGTTTCTTCTGCTGTGAAGTTTTCCCTCTCTCTTCCTGCTGGAAAGACTCAATTGTTCTGTCTGGCTTCTCTCACAGTGCCAGGTTTGTACTCTACCATGCCTCTGGTGTATAGTAATTGATATGTTCATTTATGAGTTCTTTTTCTCTCTCCAGTATGTTTAAAAAATATTTTTAAAGAGTTATTTTATTTTTAATTATATGTATATATGTGTATGTGTGCATGCCACTCAATATAGTTGCTGGGAACTGAACTCGGTCCTCTACAAGAGCAGTATGCGCTCTTATTCTCTGAGCCAGCTCTCCAGTCTCTAACAAATGTTTATGAAGGACCTGGTGCTAGGTATAATAATGAACCAAACCATCCAGATTCTTGTCATCATAGGACTGCAGGTCTATCAAATATCTGTACTCCTATTGTGGTGTTAGCTCCCTGTGGACTATTTTTGAGATATGATCTCACTCTCTGGCCCAGGCTGGCGTTGAACTCACTGTATAGCCAATCTGGCCTAAAATGCCCAATCCTTTCCCTACCCCAGAGTGCTGGAATTACAGGTGTGCACCACCACACCTAGCTATGATCACCTGTACGCCGGATGCCTGTCAGAGTCCCTTGCATATAACAGCCACTTATTCCTTGAATGATCACTGAGTGAATGCTCATGGGCAGAAATGGGGGTAACATAAAAGATGGAATGTGGTGTGGGTGGATTTTTTTCTTATGGGAGAAAAGTACATGAACACCCAGAAAAGTCACATTCTGACCTGGATTCCTAACAGGTAGCCTACATTCTTCTACATGGTTCACCCATTTGTGGGATTCATCTTCTAAGGTCCCCGAGGCAAGTGCCGAGACTTGTAAACTTTTTTAATCCTGATACCCCAGAGACATTTCTTTCTTCTGAATTGTATTCAGAAAGCCCATGTAGTCACTTGGTCTGGCATCCCGTGAGCCTGGTCTTCCTGGTGGGCCTGGCTGCCTGTCACGTGCTGTTCTTGGTTTCTTTCAGAGATCTAAAACTGGACAATGTGCTGTTGGACCACGAAGGTCACTGTAAGCTGGCAGACTTCGGGATGTGCAAGGAGGGGATTTGTAATGGAGTCACCACAGCTACCTTCTGTGGCACACCTGACTATATTGCTCCAGAGGTGAGTGCACCTGGGCTTGGTGTGGCTTCTGAAATCTGAGCTCTGCTTAACCCTGACGAAATACCACCAGCTGTTATTGTTGCTTCAACTTCCTGGACAGCTTTGAAGCAAAGGCCTGTAGACTCCCCTATGGCTCATTGGGTGAATGGTAACTGAAAATGGCCACAACTCACCTAAACCATACTTGAGTTTAAAAATATTACTAATTTTGCAGTTGCTTTAAGTTTTCCTGTGAGGGCAGGGGTGGTTCACTCATGGTTATTTATTTTCCTCTTTATCTCAGTGATTTCATTGTAGCTCCTTTAGAAGATCTAAAGAAAAGCTCTTAAATCTCTTTCATATAGATGAAAGAACCCAGTGCCCTTTCCTCCACTACAGTTATGTATTTCCAGACTCTTCTGTTTTGAATATATACATCCTCTTGGCCTAAGCAGGGCATAAATGCTTGGTCACTTAGAATAGAAAGTGCCTGTATGTACGTAGGTGCACCTGTGTTGTGCAGTGCCCACAGAGGTCAGAAGAAGGTGTCAACGATCCCCTGGAACTGGAGTTACAGATGGTTGTTAGCGGCCATGTGGGTGCTGGGAATCGAACCTGGGTCCTCTGTAAGAGCAGCCAGTGCGTTTAACCACTGAGCAATTTCTCCAACCCCTGAATTGCTTTTCTTAGTCATAAAGAACACCTTTGTTACTAACATGCATAAAGCACCTCACATTGTCCCCTTTGCGCAGATCCTTCAGGAGATGCTGTACGGGCCTGCTGTAGACTGGTGGGCCATGGGTGTGCTGCTCTATGAGATGCTCTGTGGACATGCGCCCTTTGAGGCTGAGAACGAAGATGACCTCTTTGAGGCCATACTGAATGATGAAGTAGTCTACCCTACCTGGCTCCATGAAGATGCCACAGGAATCCTCAAATCTGTAAGTTTGCTTTTCAACAAGCTTCTAACTGACTTACTGCCAAGAAGTTTGCCTCACAGGCCTCTTGTGTCTTCACTGAATATCTTCTGCTAGTATGCTGCCACCCCTAACTGGAATTTGTGTTTCATTCTGAAGAATCGGCTCTCTTAGTCTGTTTTCCTCTTACACAGTCCTTGTTTCTGGGCCAGCTTCAATATCAGTTGATAGTTTGGATGGGAAATGCAAAAAGCACCAGCACTTGTGGCTTGAATGTAGGTTAAGTGAGGCCCCCTCCCTTCATGTAGTCAGGCTACACCAGGTCAAGTGAGAGCCAGTTCCAGTTTATTAGAGCAGTTGTGTTTCTGTTGGCAATGTCCAAGGAACAGGATGTAGGAGACTTTCTCTTAGTGCTGAAAGAGGAGGAGGGAGGTTTTCAAAACCCATGTAGATCATTTGGCCACTGCGTCATCTTTCTACGCAACACAAGGGCCAAGTTCAAGCTCCCAGTGCATGTGATTAAGGTGTCATTTTGAGAGTCTTTTCTTTTAGTGCATTCAAGGCAGTATGTGGCACGCCTTACTTTGAAGTAATGAAGAAACATCGATTTGCTGCCCTTATGTTGAAAATAAGAAAATATATGTGATTCTGTAACCTCATGAGTTGAATTTGAAAAATCATGTGTTGTTACCTACTATATGCAGAGGGGATATAAAAATAAATTTAAAATATACTCCTTAGTGAAAAATTAGGACATTCCATCCTCTGTTGAATAATATTTATAATGTATCTGTGGGCTTTTATCCCATAAATACAATCTTCAACTTACATTTATTCCATCTACTTTCCTAAAGTTATATCCTATATAAGGACTTAAAACAAAAGGTTAAGTTTGATAAATATTTGCTGTCTTGTTGAAAGATGGGTCCCCTTAAGGAATCTCCAGCCTTATAATTATTGCTATTTTGAGAACATCTTGTATGCAGGTCACTATGTCCTGGGACTGAAGATATAATTGTCCCCAAGAATTTTCTGTATTTCTTAAAGTAGGAGGGTCACAGAAATCCTTCTTAGATAAATGTTGTCAAAGTGAATCACAATTCATAGCTTAATTCTCAGGAGCTTAGGAGTCAATACACTCCTGAAATTGAGAAGGCACTAATGGCATACAGAAATAAAATTAAAATACTTTGGGCTTCTACCAAATGTCCCCACTCTAGCATGTTTTCATAAGAACAATTTATATCGTTAGAGATGAAGAACATGGCTTTTATAATTTTATGAGTAAAAGCCACCAAGAAGGGCTTATTTTTGTGGACTTGTGTCATGGAGTTTCTTAACTTCCTGGAAGGAAATGGACTCAACTGGGCTGGCCACAGCTAGCCCTGATAACAGGCTATGATGACACAGCCTCACCGTGCTGCAGAGCAAAGCATACTTTCCCAGTGCTGTGACCCAGAATCCAGTTTCTTGTGATTTTAAGGCATGCTGGCCTAGGGGGTAGGGGCGCCTAAAACAGCCACCATCAACATGCTAATGGCTTTTCACTGGAGAACATTTCTTGTTCAATTACTGCAGCTGCTTTGGCATTTTTATTATTTAAAAGAAGGACCCCAGCATTTGTGATTTGAATGGAAATGCTACTTCAAACCATAAAGACCACAGTGCCTGCTATCACGGAGGGTAAGAAGAAATGAGAGTCTCATGTCTGGGACTCGGAAAAGACCACCTCACCTTAGGATTGGATGTCTCTCCTATCTGCTTCTCTAAATTGTTGCTGCTGTTGTTCTTCCTTATTCAGACAAGGTCTCCCTATGTAGCCTTGGCTAGCCTTGAGCTCCTAGAGTGCCGCTTGCCTCTTCCTCTGGAGTCCCAGGATTAAAGGCATGCACCACCACACCTGACACTGAAATTTTGTCCTTTACATTTTTAGCTCTCAATCGTATTCTGGTGTCTCAGTTCTCTTGAAATACTTCTTTCTCTCTAAATCCGAGACTACATATCACCTCCTTAGTCAAGCTTAATAGACCCTGGAGTAGAACTGAACAAGGTTAAGAGTCACATGGAATTATTAAGAATGTTTCTCCTTAAAAGGCTAAATTCAAGTACTTGAAGCTATATCTTCAATATAAGTATGCAGTAAATGTTTTCAGTAACTACCACATTTGTTATCCAGGGATATCCTGCAGAGCACTGTTCTGAGAGGAAACAGGCTCCAGTGCCCCATCAGCGTCAGTGTCTCTCTCCTTGTAAGCCCACCTCTTGAGGAAGGACTGTGAATCCCATCACTTCTTCTCTTTGGCTTCTCTCCAGCTGCTCTGTTGGCCCCCAGCATCACCCAAGATCAGTATGTGTCATATACCTAGCATTGATTTCTCTGGTCTCTTTGAGGTGCCATCCTTGTAGGAAGGAGTAGGGGTTCAGGGTTCAGGCTGACAGTCCCAGGCCTCTTTCTCAGCTGTTCCTTCCTGTTGAAGTGGCTGTGGTGAGTTTCTGCTCCTCTGTAGATCTCAGTGTCCTTGTGTATAAAAGAGAGCTAGTACAATCCAGGACATAAGAATGATATATAGAAACCTTCTGGGCATACATTAAGCATGCTCCTGTTTACATCTTCAAGGAATCTGCCCTCAAAATAACTTTCTGTGAAAATACTTGAAAGTTGTGAGATAAAATATACTACCAAAAAAAAAAAAAAATCACTGGGAAAATTTCTGGAGCAATTTTGTGTATTTTGGTCTCCCTACCTTTAACTAAGAGATGAGGGATCAAGCTGAACTTCACAGAGGGCCGAAGCATTTAAATGGAAATATAATCAAGAAAATCTGTTAATAGCACTTAATACTGACTAGGAAAGCTGGGAGTGATGACCCTTGCCTGGAATGCCAGCATTCTGGAAGAAGAGGCAGGAGGCTCCCTGCAAGTTCAAGACGTGATTTCAGGCTGGCCAGCTAGGGCTTCACAGTGCAATTCCATCTAAAGAAATCAATGAAAAGATGAGAAAAGCAGAGAAAAAGAAGAACGCCGTCTAAGGGCAGGCCTGGGCTCTTTCCTCGCTGGCTGTATGACTTTGGGCAAAGAGCATAATTCTGTAGTGCCCTGGTTTCCTCACCTGTGCCATTGGAGTGTTTGTCTATAAGGCTACATACAGTATGGATGAGACAAGATGGTGCAGAGATGCTTAGGGTGTTATTGTTCAACAGGGTGCATGCTCACAAAGTGGTCACTGTTGTGTGAATTGATACATGAAATGGTTTTTAGACTCCTGAAAAAATGATTACTTTGCTGCTGGAGAGTTTGAGTATCAAGTCAGGCTTTATAAGCTATCCAGACAGCTTCCTGACTCTCATCACTTCCCAGTTAATTAGGCTACCAAGGAGTTCTTTGACTCCTGGACAAATCCTTAGAGACTGTCCTTTCTGATGCCCTCATTTTATAGATGAGGAAGATAAGAAGCACAGAGAGAGATGGCCCAGCAGAGGCCATGTAGCACACGACCTTCCTGCATTGCTAATGAGGATGTCAAAAGGTACAGCCACTGGGAAAATGATATGGTAGGCAGTTCCTCAAAACATTCAACATAGAATTACCATATGATCCAGCAACCGAACTTCCAGTTACACGCCCAAAAGAACTGGAAACAAGAACCCATTTGTATATCTGTGCTCATAGCATCTCTGTTCCCAATATCAGAAAGGAAACCAACCTGAATGTCTCTCAATAGATAATCTAAATGTGGTATATCATACAATGAATATTATTCAGACTTTAAAAGTGATTCATCCATGTACTACAACATGGAAAATCTTGATGACATTATGCTGAGTGAAATAAGCCAAAACCAAAAGGACAAATATGTGATTCCATTTACATAAGGTCCCTAAAATAGTTCAGTTCACAGAAACAGCCATTCGAATGGTGGTTGCAAGGAGCTGGAGAAAGACGGGAATGAGCACTTCGTATTTGAAGAGTGTGGAGGTGCATTTTAGAGGGTGAAAGTTCTGGAGATGGTTGTAACATGGTGTGAATGTGGATATGTGTAATGCCACTGGCCATTTTGCCGAAAAAGAGCCGAAACGCTAATCATATTATACATATTTTGCTACAATTTTAAAAATGGGAAAACTCACAAACATTTAGAATCAGAATCTAGAGTTTTCTGACTCCAATTTTTTCAAGACACCAACCTGGACTTCGCCTGTCCCTTCCCTTTTTGCTTCTATTTCCCATGAATAAAAGACTTTTATCCTCATAGCCTCCCTTTCCTAGCACCCAGATTACTACCTGATGAGGTTCTTTCCTGTTGTATCGGGAACTTTAGCCACTGGAGGAAGCTACTAGGGTCCTGTGTGTTGCTGCTCACAATGCACTGACTTCTCACCTATTTAACTTTCCTTTAGATGAGGCATGGTGTTTATGATAATAATTGGTTTCAGTAGTATTTAAAGGCTGTGCGTGGTATCAGAAATAATAATCATTCTACTGCCCAGAGGTGAGTATCTAAGACTCTGAAAGGAGAAGCTGCTCTGGTAGGCAATCAAAATCCACGTTCAGTTTAACTCAGTAAATGTCTGTCAGGTGCTTCCTTGGTTTGTGCTAAGTGCTGGGAATGCAAAGGCAATAAGACCTGGCCTCCGTCTATCTTCATCACAGTGAGGGAGGACTAAGAACAGGTCAATGAGCACGTCACACACTACCAAGCAGAATCATCTTCTGAGAACTTTCTGGAGGCAAGAATGGGGAAAGTGACATAGGGGTAAGACAAAAGATAAGACATTTACACTGGGTGTTGAGGGACAAGTGAGTTCACTGGGGTAGACAGAGTGAGGCGGATGTGTATAGAGGAAATAACATGTGTAAAGCCTCAGGCAGGAAGTGGCACATATGTTCCAAGAACTGTGGTTTCTAGCTCTATGTTGTTGGAGCATTGGGGGCTGGCTGGAGAGCCATAGAATATTGAGGTGAGGACATGTGAGAATATTGATGGATCCAGGGGACATTTGGAAAGTGCGATATATGTGTCAGTT